CATGTTTTGTCTCAAGACAAACATACTCCCTCTGGCAGCCTCCTGCATGCAAAATGTGTGTGGGTACTTCTTTCCTACTTGGCTTCCTCTTTCTGCAAATATTGTTCCTGTCTGCTTTTTCAGCTGGCAGGGTAAACAAAATCACCACTGGAGCTTGGTAGTGTGGTATGTATTTTTAAAAATCCTTTCATAACCAGCTTCCATCTGAAAACACACAGTATATTCAAAGCAGCCAAAATGTTTTCTCCTATCCCTGTGTCTGCTAAAACTGATCCAGATAGTTTTTCACCAGCTGAATACGGGCTTCACTCTTTTTACACTGCATGTCAAGAAAACTTAGATGACGCTTTTTATAAGACACACTTTTAATCACACATCATTTCACTTGTGATTATAAGAAGCCACTAACATGTTCCTAGAACAGCAGATCTGGAGACAGACAGCTGTGCAGAATGCTGCACGAAAGATAAGACCCAGGCCTCAGCAAGGCCAAGCCCTCCTGAAGCAGAAGCAAACCCTAATAAATGCGTGGCCTTGAGAAGCTCAGAGCATGTGGCTGCCACAAAGTAACCCCCAACATACTACAAACTGGATTTTTTATACACCCTCCCCACTCATTAAAAAAACACAACCAAAACAAAACACACACACAGACACAAAAAAAAACCCAAACAAAAAACGTGGAGCTGGGGGGTATGTGACTCAAAATGAGCAGTGCCAGAGATCCAGGCTGCTGCTGGAGGTTTAAAGCAACAGAAATGTGTGGTCACCGTTTCTGTGTCAGACAACATCCCTCTCGCCACAAGGGCCGACGTTTCCACTCCCCATTGTGCCGCTTCTCACGGATTCCCACACACCATGGCAGTGATAAACTGCAGACACTTCCAGTGAATCAAACACCTGAAAACTCAGCCCTTACTTGTAAAATTTAATAATACTAATGGATTGGGAAAATGTCCAAAACCCACAGTGGTTTCACCTTGCAATAAGCACTTTAAAATTTCCACCAGTCCGGGACAGGAATGGTATTCTAAATTGTTTTTTTAAATCAATGAGCAACGTCCCTGCAGCCCACGATACCGGCACTGCCGTCAGACCGGGGGAGCCGGTGCCTGGTCAGAGAAAAAATGGCGAATACGTGAGGGTGATGAGAGAAGAGGAAAGGGCAGGATACAAATTAATTCGACCTTTATCACTTCACAGCCTATGCCGGGTTTTTCAGATGGCTGGAAAAGGGGGTTTTAGCAGCGTAGCTGTGGGTCCCAAGCACCCCCCGCCCCCACGGGCTGGGAAGGGAGCGCGGTCCTGGACAGCTCGGCGAGGGCGACTCGGACAAAAGAAACACAGCGGAGCCCCCGGGAGCTGCCAGACTGCGGGGCCTC